CCATCAGTGTAACCTACATTACCATCAGTGTAACCTACATTACCATCAGTGTAACCTACATTACCATCAGTGTAACCTACATTACCATCACTGTAACCTACATTACCATCACTGTAACCTACATTACCATCAGTGTAACCTACATTACCATCAGTGTAACCTACATTACCATCAGTGTAACCTACATTACCATCACTGTAACCTACATTACCATCACTGTAACCTACATTACCATCACTGTAACCTACATTACCATCACTGTAACCTACATTACCATCACTGTAACCTACATTACCATCACTGTAACCTACATTACCATCAGTGTAACCTACATTACCATCACTGTAACCTACATTACCATCACTGTAACCTACATTACCATCAGTGTAACCTACATTACCATCAGTGTAACCTACATTACCATCAGTGTAACCTACATTACCATCAGTGTAACCTACATTACCATCACTGTAACCTACATTACCATCACTGTAACCTACATTACCATCACTGTAACCTACATTACCATCACTGTAACCTACATTACCATCACTGTAACCTACATTACCATCACTGTAACCTACATTACCATCAGTGTAACCTACATTACCATCACTGTAACCTACATTACCATCACTGTAACCTACATTACCATCACTGTAACCTACATTACCATCCTAACCTACATTACCATCACTGTAACCTACATTACCATCACTGTAACCTACATTACCATCACTGTAACCTACATTACCATCAGTGTAACCTACATTACCATCACTGTAACCTACATTACCATCAGTGTAACCTACATTACCATCACTGTAACCTACATTACCATCAGTGTAACCTACATTACCATCACTGTAACCTACATTACCATCAGTGTAACCTACATTACCATCACTGTAACCTACATTACCATCAGTGTAACCTACATTACCATCACTGTAACCTACATTACCATCAGTGTAACCTACATTACCATCACTGTAACCTACATTACCATCAGTGTAACCTACATTACCATCACTGTAACCTACATTACCATCACTGTAACCTACATTACCATCACTGTAACCTACATTACCATCACTGTAACCTACATTACCATCAGTGTAACCTACATTACCATCACTGTAACCTACATTACCAACAGTGTAACCTACATTACCATCACTGTAACCTACATTACCATCACTGTAACCTACATTGCCATCACTGTAACCTACATTACCATCACTGTAACCTACATTACCATCAGTGTAACCTACATTACCATCAGTGTAACCTACATTACCAACAGTGTAACCTACATTACCATCACTGTAACCTACATTACCATCACTGTAACCTACATTACCATCACTGTAACCTACATTACCATCAGTGTAACCTACATTACCATCACTGTAACCTACATTACCATCACTGTAACCTACATTACCATCAGTGTAACCTACATTACCATCACTGTAACCTACATTACCATCACTGTAACCTACATTACCATCACTGTAACCTACATTACCATCACTGTAACCTACATTACCATCAGTGTAACCTACATTACCATCACTGTAACCTACATTACCATCACTGTAACCTACATTACCATCAGTGTAACCTACATTACCATCACTGTAACCTACATTACCATCACTGTAACCTACATTACCATCACTGTAACCTACACTACCATCAGTGTAACCTACATTACCATCAGTGTAACCTACATTACCATCAGTGTAACCTACATTACCATCAGTGTAACCTACATTACCATCAGTGTAACCTACATTACCATCACTGTAACCTACATTACCATCACTGTAACCTACATTACCATCAGTGTAACCTACATTACCATCACTGTAACCTACATTACCATCAGTGTAACCTACATTACCATCAGTGTAACCTACATTACCATCACTGTAACTTACATTACCATCAGTGTAACCTACATTACCATCACTGTAACCTACATTACCATCACTGTAACCTACATTACCATCACTGTAACCTACATTACCATCAGTGTAACCTACATTACCATCAGTGTAACCTACATTACCATCAGTGTAACCTACATTACCATCAGTGTAACCTACATTACCATCACTGTAACCTACATTACCATCACTGTAACCTACATTACCATCAGTGTAACCTACATTACCATCAGTGTAACCTACATTACCATCAGTGTAACCTACATTACCATCACTGTAACCTACATTACCATCACTGTAACCTACATTACCATCAGTGTAACCTACATTACCATCACTGTAACCTACATTACCATCACTGTAACCTACATTACCATCAGTGTAACCTACATTACCATCAGTGTAACCTACATTACCATCAGTGTAACCTACATTACCATCAGTGTAACCAACATTACCACATCTGTAACCTACATTACCATCAGTGTAACCTACATTACCATCACTGTAACCTACATTACCATCACTGTAACCTACATTACCATCACTGTAACCTACATTACCATCACTGTAACCTACATTACCATCAGTGTAACCTACATTACCATCACTGTAACCTACATTACCATCAGTGTAACCTACATTACCATCAGTGTAACCTACATTACCATCACTGTAACCTACATTACCATCACTGTAACCTACATTACCATCAGTGTAACCTACATTACCATCAGTGTAACCTACATTACCATCAGTGTAACCTACATTACCATCACTGTAACCTACATTACCATCACTGTAACCTACATTACCATCAGTGTAACCTACATTACCATCACTGTAACCTACATTACCATCAGTGTAACCTACATTACCATCACTGTAACCTACATTACCATCAGTGTAACCTACATTACCATCAGTGTAACCTACATTACCATCAGTGTAACCTACATTACCATCACTGTAACCTACATTACCATCACTGTAACCTACATTACCATCACTGTAACCTACATTACCATTGCTGTAACCTACATTACCATCGCTGTAACCTACATCATCAATTTACCATCACCATCAGTGTCGTTGCAATAACCATCACGATCGCCATCATCAGTCATCACTTTAACCAACATTATCATCCTCTGTCGTGTAATTACATCACCAGCATCATCACCCCATCGTCATCATCAATGCAGTCAGGACAGCGCCCTAACCACAAAGATAACTTCACATTAACAAACCAACAATTATCGTCATGACCGACATTGTGTTACTGTCATCATCACCAAACTGTCCTATGACCATCATATCAGACCCTCAATAGTTATATAAAATCGTAATCGCCATCATCACCATCACCAACTGCCATCATCACCATCATCACCATCACTGTAGCACGTTAATTGAAATCATTGATCATCATCTCCATGACAACATTACCATCAAGTCGTGCCTACCATCACCACCATCATCATCATCACCTCAACCATTACCACCATCACCGTCAACCACGGCCATGCAAATGAAAATCATGACCACCACCACCTCTACCGTACCACAACTGTTACCACCTTCATCAGTACCGTCAGCATCACTACAACCACCTTCATCCCCACCACCACCACCTCTGCCACCATCATCACTACCACCACCACAACCATCATCATTACCACCACCACAGCCATCATCATTACCACCACCACAGCCATCATCATTACCACCACCACAGCCATCATCATCACTACCACCACAACCATCATCACTACCACCACAGCCATCATCACTACCACCACCACAGCCATCATCACTACCACCACCACAGCCATCATCATTACCACCACCACAGCCATCATCATTACCACCACCACCACAGCCATCATCATCACCACCACCACAGCCATCATCACTACCACCACCACAGCCATCATCACTACCACCACCACAGCCATCATCATTACCACCACCACAGCCATCATCATTACCACCACCACAGCCATCATCATTACCACCACCACCACAGCCATCATCATCACCACCACCACAGCCATCATCATTACCACCATCACAGCCGTCATCATCACTACCACCACAACCGTCACCACCACAGCCATCACCACCACCACAACCACCATCATCATCAACCACCTTACACCTCCCCCCGATGCCCCCCCCCTATCCCCCATCTCAGCTCAGTGTTGTTGCCCCGTGCGACGTAGCGCTTAGAGACTGAATCTGCTCGCATTTATACAAAATAAGCCAACCGTGCCCAATGTAGCTGGAGGCGAGGATCAGCTGTGAAGGCCGGCACGGCGCACGAGACTGCGTGGGTGGTGTGGTGATGGATTTGTTTTACTGGTATGAACGAAGTTGTAAACTGAGTGTACCAGCCTGCAATAGATTAATGTGTCCGTCCGTCCGTCCCCTTTCAATACTTTAACGAAGTGAAATCTCGTGCTGTTGGGTGTATAGTTTGTCCAGAAGAACCCTCAACGATTTTGAGGGCAAAAAGGTGGGAAGACGCTCTCAGTTAGCACAATTTTACGTAACAATGTCATAAAATTGCGCAAAATTCCAATGTTCCTACCAGCCCACCCTGCAGGGACCTGTTCTACACAATTAAGGCTGCGTTGACCTCGCGGGAGACCTGGGGCCTGGTTCAGATATTCGGTTACTGGTGTTGGTGGTGGCCGTGAGCGGGAATCGATCCCGGGCCGCTGGGTTCGTAGCACAAGCGTGGCGCTAACCGCTGCATAATCGTTCCCCACACGTATTGTAATCGAGCTCACCTAGGTAGACTCAGCCTTAAATGAGTGCCCGCTTCCATGCGTATACAGCATCATCACTGCGAAGACGAGGGTGGCCGGGGGTGCATAGTGCTGCCCACGCCCAGAATCTTTATTTCAGAATATTCATTGAGGCTGGAGGAATCTGATGGGCTACGGAGATCCTTCCCGCAGGTGACCAGTATGTGTGCCGTGCCGGCCTTAATAGGTGCTCACCAACAGCACTTGCCTGTTAAAACACTATACGGGGTGGGGGGGGATGTTTGTATTTACATGCACACACACGTCTGTATGTGTGTGTGTACACCTCGCTCTAGGTAAGGTGTTTAATATTCCTTAGACGCAACATAAGCAGTGCTCTAGACTGCGTTACCTAGCAACGAGGTGCGCCCGCCTTCGAAGAGGGGTGGTGCGTTCCCGAATTTCCGAATTAATCAGAAAGTATGACGCCGTGGGAAGTGACGTAACCACCAAGGGAAGTGTCGCCATCACGCGGGTGACGTCACGGGAAGTGTCGCCATCACGCGGATGACGACATGGGAAGTGCCGCCATCGCGCGGGTGACATCACAGGAATAGCAGCCATCACGTGGGTGACATCACGGGAATAGCAGCCATCGCGTGGGTGACGTCACGGGAAGTGCCACCATCGCGCGGGTGACATCACGGGAAGTGTCGCCATCGCGCGGGTAACGTCACGGGAAGTGCCGCCATCACGTGGGTGACATCACGGGAAGTGTCACCATCACGCGGGTGACATCACGGGAAGTGCCACCATCGCGTGGGTGACATCACGGGAAGTGTCGCCATCACGCGGGTGATGTCACGGGAAGTGCCGCCATCGCGCGGGTAACGTCACCGGAAGTGCCGCCATCACGCGGGTGATATCACGGGAAGTGTCGCCATCACGCGGGTGACATCACGGGAAGTGTCGCCATCACGCGGGTGACATCACGGGAAGTGTCACCATCACGCGGGTGACATCACGGGAAGTGCCGCCATCACGCGGGTGACATCACGGGAAGTGCGGCCATCGCGTTGGTGACATCACGGGAAGTGCCGCCATCACGCGGGTGACATCACGGGAAGTGTCGCCATCGCGCGGGTGACGTCACGGGAAGTGTCGCCATCGCGCGGGTGACGTCACGGGAAGTGCCGCCATCGTGCGGATGAAATTGCGGGAAGTGTCGCCATCACGCGGGTGACATCACGGGAAGTGCCGCCATCACGTTGGTGACATCACGGGAAGTGTCGCCATCGCGCGGGTGACGTCACGGGAAGTGCCGCCATCGCGCGGGTGACATCACGGGAAGTGCCGCCATCCTCGGGAGCGGCGTCACTTCCCGTTGTTTTTCCCCGCCGGCAGGCGCGGCCGCGCGACACGCCGTTTTCCCGTCGACGTCGCTCGCGCGTCGGTTATACAAAGAGTTCAAACGTTCGGCGTTCGTGCTCGCACATTAATCTCGACGGTTATTATCTTTCCTGTTATTAAACTGATGGCATCGAGTGCACAAAGCGAGGAGCGTGTAATATTGAATTAAAATGTACAAATACGAAAACAGTTTAACACTGTAGGCTTTCGCGACCAATATTATTCATAATAAAGTGTTTTCGGGTGAGATCGCCTTATCTATGAATGTGTCGCAACCCTCCACCACCCGACACGGCCAATCAGTAAACAATGTGTCACTATTCTGGAAAATTGCCCGATGATGCTGAATGTAATTACCAGCGAAACGTCGTACTACTCAAATTGTGAATATTGTGGATCCACTCTTCAACACAGCGGTGGGCTAAAGTAGTGAACTATTTTTGTCTTTTGTCAACGTGACACTTTTTGCTTACTGATTGGCCGTGTCGGGTGGTGGAGGGTTGCGACACATTTGTAAATAACGCGATCTCACCCAAAACACTTTATTATGACTAATACGACAACAATTCGTATTTGTAACTCATCGCGAGCGGCTGTGGCGAGGTTTCCCCAAACTCCGGGTCCGTCCGCCGCACCCACCACCGCCTTCACCAGTTTACTCCTCCCCATGCAAAACGAACTCGTTGCACGCCGCACGCGCCCGATGATTGTCAAACACGTCCCACGTGACGCGATGAGCAGTCAGCGCTGCCTGAGTCGCGTTCGCTCGCACGGTCGGCGATCAGCAGTGCTCCAGGAGTGACTGATGGCCGTGACGTCACAGCGCAGTGACGTCACAGCGCAGTGACGTCACCATCCCAGTGGCAATTTTTTTTTGTACTAATGTCTTCTTCATTGCTGAGTGGCGGACAGCAAGGGCGTTCTAGCGAGGTTATCGCGCGCGGTGGTGAGTGGTGGCGAGCACTCCGTGGTGGTGGTGGTGGTGGGCGGTGGTGCGTAAGCCCTCAGTGCTGGTGGTAGCTGTAGACCTTACAGCAGTGGTTGCCCGTGTCGGCCACCACGAGCCTCGTGCCCTCAGGGCTGAGCGCCAGGCCCTGGGGGCAGCTGAGGGGGTGCACAGAGGGGGCCAGCACCCCCTTGAAGGCCCCCACGCAGTTAAACACCTGGGGAGGAAGGGGGGGCGGGGGTGAGGGGGTCAAGGAGGAATCGAATTTGGGATCAAGGAGAGGGGATCGGGTGGGGGGGGGGGGGGTGAAGTTGGGCTCAATGTGAATCGGGAAGGATCCAGGTAGTGTCAGGAGGGATTCGTGTGGAATCTGTTTGTGATGAAGGTGGGGATCGAGGGGGGCTCATGATGGAGGTCAACGTGAGAGCATGGGGGGTAGGGGGGGGTCAATGTGGGATCAAGTTATAGTGCCAGGAGCGATTGGAGTGGTTATCAAGACGGGGTCAAGTTGGGGGGGGGATCAGGGGGTCAGGGGGTCAGGGGTCACCTGTATGCGGGCGTTGCCCCAATCGGCCACGAGGATGTTGTCTGCCGGGTCGACGGCCACGCCCGTGGGCCCGTGCAGCTGCCCCTCCGCGCTCCCGAAGCCCCCAAACTGGAACAGAAACTCCCCCCCAGAGAACACCTGGGGGAGGGGGGTCAAAAGGTCACGGTGGGGGTGCTGGGTAGGGGAGGAGATCGTGGATGTTTGACAGGTCGGTGGGATACTGGATCTGGTGTGCAGGGTACTGAAAAAACATGAGGGGGGTGGGGGGGGGAGGAGGGCGGGAGGGGCTTGGGGAGGACACGGGGTCACGGGTTCGTGGGGGTCATGGGTCACGACCTTCACGGAATGGTCGAGGAAGTCTGAAACGATGACGTCACCCTTGCTGTTGAGCGCCACGTAGTTCGGCCCTGGGGGCGGGGGGGGGTAGACATTGGCACAGACACGTGGACAAAAGGTCCCCAGTGTAGCCCACGCAGCCTGTTGGGGCAAGTGCTGTGAGTAGCGTGGAGCAGGAACTATGAAGGCCGGCACGGCGGGGTGGGTGGCCAGCACCACGCCCGGCCGCCTTTGTCTCCCCAGTGCTGCTGTGAGTCTATGGGTCTCTGTGCGAGTCAATGGGTCTCTGTGCGAGTCTATGGGTCTCTGTGCGAGTCTATGGGTCTCTGTGTGAGTCTATGGGTCTGTGTGTGAGTCTATGGGTCTCTGTGTGAGTCTATGGGTCTCTGTGACAGTCTATGGGTCTCTGTGTGAGTCTATGGGTCTCTGTGTGAGTCTACGGGTCTCTGTGCGAGTCTATGGGTCTCTGTGTGAGTCTATGGGTCTCTGTGTGAGTCTATGGGCCTCTGTGTGAGTCTATGGGTCTCTGTGTGAGTCTATGGGTCTCTGTGTGAGTCTATGGGTCTCTGTGCGAGTCTATGGGTCTCTGTGCGAGTCTATGGGTCTCTGTGTGAGTCTATGGGTCTCTGTGTGAGTCTATGGGTCTCTGTGTGAGTCTATGGGTTTCTGTGTGAGTCTATGGGTCTCTGTGTGAGTCTATGGGTCTCTGTGTGAGTCTATGGGTCTCTGTGTGAGTCTATGGGTCTCTGTGTGAGTCTATGGGTCTCTGTGTGAGTCTATGGGTCTCTGTGTGAGTCTATGGGTCTCTGTGTGAGTCTATGGGTCTCTATGGGAGTCTATGGGTCTCTGTGCGAGTCTATCTTTGTTGCTCCGGGATGTCGTTGCATGTGTGCGGCAAATCGGTTTTAACCGTTGTTTTTAATTCGCGGTTGATGCTGCGGTGAACCAATCATGCACCGATTGAAAAATTTCCAACGGTGCAAGAGGCCCCTTTTGAACAACGACCCCCTGGGGACCCCCATCCCGACCCCCTCTCCGCGACCCCTGCTGACCCCGGAGGCGGCCCAGGTCGGCGGCGCGACCCCCGAACTTGGCGTGGACCCTCCCGGCGGCCGTCAGTGCCACCACGGCGCAGGCTTTGTTGTCGGCCACCAGGGCCAGGCCCGAGTCGGTGGTGCACACTCCGCGGGGGGCCTGCAGCAGGCCCACGCCGAGCTGCGACTACGGGGGGGGGGGCAAGGAGGGGTAGGGGGGGGCAAGGAGGGGTAGGGGGGGGTAGGGGGCACATGGGAGGAGGAGGAGGGGGGGCATCCGGGGGTGGGGGGAGTACGGAGGGGTCAAGGGGGTACATGGGGTACACTCGTGGGGGGCAGGTAAAGTTCATAGAGGAGGAAACGAGGCATGGGGATTCGCAATACCTCGGGGGGACACTGGGGGGACACGGGGGGGGGGCATGGGGGGGCATGGGGGGGGACACGGGGGGGGACACGGGGGGGGACACGGGGGGGCACGAGGGGACACGGGGGGGAGACACGGGGGGACACGGGGGGGGACACGGAGGGGGACACGGGGGGGGCACGGGGGGGGGACACGGGGGGGCACGGGGGGGGGACACGGGGGGGGGACACGGGGGGACACGGGGCCACAACGAGGGAACAAGGGGGGGGGGGTGGGACACGCGGGGGATGAGATGTCCCTACGTGAGCGTGGCGTGCGGGGGGCGTGGGTGGGTGGGGGGGGGCATAACGCGTAGGGTGACGTCGGTGCCGACGAGAATCTGGGTGGACAATGTTGGGGGGGGGGAGGAGAATGTGGGGGGGGGGGTGGGGGGCCCGCTGGACCTACCCGGTGACGTCCGTCGGGTGCGTAGACGTTGAGGGACCTCGTCTCTGGGTCGGTGACGAGGAGGTCGCCGTTGGCTCGCACCGCCACCCCCGAGGGGTGAACCATCTGGCCCGGGTCGCGGCCCCGGACCCCGAACTGGGTGAGGAACTCGCCGGTGCTGAGGAAGACCTTGTGTGTGGGGGGCAGTGGGGGGGCAGTGGGGGGCAGTGGGGGAGAGAGAAGGTGGGGGGGGTGAGTGGTGGGCAAGAGGGTGGGGGGAGTGGGGGAGAAAGAGAGAGGGTGGGGGGGGAGAGAGGGGTGGGGAGAGAGGGGTGGGGACACGGTGAAAGACGGAGGTGTGAAGGGGATCCCCGGAGCAAGGGGACCCTGGCGAAGGGGATCCGCTGGAGGGAATTCTGGATTCCTGTAGAGGGGACCCCCTGGAGAGGGGACCCCCTGTAGAGGGGACCCCCTGTAGAGGGGACCCCCTGGAGAGGGGACCCCCTGGAGAGGAGACCCCCAAGGAGGACGACCCCCGAATGTGGGGTCCCGCTTGGAGAGTGGAGGCCCGGGTGAAGGGGACCCCAGTCGAGGGGACCTGGGAAAGGGGACCCGGTTGAAGGGGACCCTCCTCCCCCCGCACCTGCACGGCGTGCTTGCCGCTGTCGGCCGTGACGATCCGGCCGGATGGTGTCAGAGCGACCCCCTGCAAGTTCATGAACTCTCCCATGCCTCGACCCTGGCTGCCTGGGGGGTCACACGCGGGGAGGAGGGGGGGGTCAGTGTTAGGTTAACACCTCGCCACGATTCTGTGTGTCTGTGTGTCTGTGATTCTGTGTGTCTGTGATTCTGTGTGTCTGTGTGTCTGTGATTCTGTGTATCTGTGATTCTGTGTGTCTGTGATTCTGTGTATCTGTGATTCTGTGTGTGATTGTGTGTGTCTGTGATTCTGTGTGTCTGATTCTGTGCGTCTGTGTGTCTGTGATTCTGTGTGTCTGTGATTCTGTGTGCCTGATTCTGTGTGTCTTTGTGTCTGTGATTCTGTGTGTCTGTGATTCTGTGTGTCTGTGATTCTGTGTGTCTGTGTGTCTGTGATTCTGTGTGTCTGTGATTCTGTGTGTCTGTGATTCTGTGTGTCTGTGTGTCTGTGATTCTGTGTGTCTGTGATTCTGTGTGTCTGATTCTGTGTGTCTGTGTGTCTGTGATTCTGTGTGTCTGTGATTCTGTGTGTCTGATTCTGTGTGTCTGTGTGTCTGTGATTCTGTGTGTCTGTGATTCTGTGTGTCTGATTCTGTGTGTGATTCTGTGTGTCTGTGATTCTGTGTGTCTGTGATTCTGTGTGTCTGTGTGTCTGTGATTCTGTGTGTCTGTGTGTCTGTGATTCTGTGTCTGTGATTCTGTGTGTCTGTGTGTCTGTGATTCTGTGTGTCTGTGGTTCTGTGTGTCTGTGATTCTGTGTGTCTGTGATTCTGTGTGTCTGTGATTCTGTGTGTCTGTGATTCTGTGTGTCTGTGATTCTGTGTGTCTGTGATTCTGTGTGTCTGTGTGTCTGTGTGTCTGTGATTCTGTGTGTCTGTGATTCTGTGTGTCTGTGATTCTGTGTGTCTGATTCTGTGATTCTGTGTGTCTGTGATTCTGTGTGTCTGTGATTTTGTGTGTCTGATTTTGTGTGTCTGTGTGTCTGTGATTCTGTGTGTCTGTGATTCTGTGATTCTGTGATTCTGTGTGTCTGTGTGTCTGTGATTCTGTGTTTCTGTGATTTTGTGTGTTTGTGATTCTGTGTGTCTGATTCTGTGTGTCTGTGATTCTGTGTGTCTGTGATTCTGTGATTGTGTGTGTCTGTGTGTTTGTGATTCTGTGTGTCTCTGTGTGTGTCTGTGATTCTGTGTGTCTGTGATTCTGTGTGTCTGTGTGTTTGTGATTCTGTGTGTCTGATTCTGTGTGTATGTGTGTCTATAATTCCGTGTCTATGTGTGTCTATGATTCTGTATGTGTGTCTATGATTGTGTGTATGTGATTCTGTGTGTCTGTGTGTCTGTGATTCTGTGTGTCCGTGATTCTGTGTGTGTCTACTATTGTGTGTGTGTGTGTCTATGATTCTATTTCAATGTGTGGATAGGCCATGGTGATGATGATGACACTGAGAGACCGAGACAGACAGAGAGAGAAAACAACACGTGGATTAGAGAACACACGCAGGGTAGAGACATCATCATCATCACTGATCTTCATCCAGCAGTGGATAGACCACCACGGCGGTGGTGATGACTAGAAGCTAGTGTGGCTCGTGCAGGGCGCGTCACGGCCAGCAGGGGCCGATGGCCGGGCGGTCGAGACTCAGCACGGAGCGAGAGCCGAAGGAGAGAGAAGTCGTCAGCCGTGGTGAGATGTTGACTACCTCGCCTGGTACACAGGAGGTCGTGGGTTCAATCCCGACCCTGGCGCCTGCTGCTGCTGTGTATTTGGAGCTGGGTAGTGGGCGGGGCTAGCCGAGCAGTGGGCGGAGCTAGTCGAGAAGAATGAGGGGCCTGCCACGTAGTGGGCGGGGTTACCTGGGTGGCGGGTGGAGGGAGGGGTTGAAAGCTGAACGACCCAGATGTGTGGGTGTTCATGTGGAGCCTCATAATGTTGGGAGCTTTAACTTCTTTACATGTCCCCGTGTCCCAGTGTCTCCACACACCCCCGTGTCTCCACATCCCCGTGTCCCCGTGTCCCCGTGTCTCCACACCCCCATGTCCCCGTGTCTCCACATCCCCGTGTCCCAGTGTCTCCACACACCCCCGTGTCTCCACATCCCCGTGTCCCCGTGTCTTCATACCCCCGTGTCCCCGTGTCTCCACACACCCCCGTGTCCCCGTGTCTCCACACCCCCGTGTCCCCGTGTCTCCACACACCCCGCGTGTCCCCCACCCACTCACCAAACTGGAAGAGGAGTCCATCCTCATCTGCCTCCTCCTCCTCCTCCTCCTTCTCCCGCTGCTGGTGGTGCTGGTGCTGCTGGTGTTGGTGGTGGTGGTGCTGCTGGTGGTGGTCGTCTCGATCACTCCTCGCCCCCGCGTGCTGAGTCGCCCCCGCGACCCGGACTCGGCCCGCTGGGGTCGCGGCCCTCGGCCGAGGGGACTTGGGCCCCAGGGTGCACGGAGAGGGGTCCCTAGCCCCGCTCCTGGGGAGGCTGCGGGCCCCCCTCGGTGACGCGGTGGCCTTGGGGGTCGAGTGGGACGGGGAGGGCCCCGGCCTTCCTCGGGGAGGGGCTCCGATGCGGGGGGTCCCCTCTGGGGGCGCTGAGAATTCGAGAACAAACGAAGTTGGGGACGGGTCCGCCGGAGGTGGCGACCGCCACCGGAGCACGCGAGACACGACACGGGTCGGGCCGGCGTGACCGGCACTCCCCCCACCCCCACCCCCTTAGCCACGTGATCCCCAGGTTACCCCACCCTTGACCCCCCCCCCCCCACTAGGACCCCCGTCACCTCTGGGGGTCTTCACGGGGAGCCCCAGCGGCCCCCTCCTCGCGGGACGGCCCCTCTCCTCCTCCGAGTGGGGCCCAAACGTGGCGATCGCTTCGAGGAGGGGGCCCAAGTCCAGGTGGCTCCAGTCCAGGGTCTCGGCGTGGAGCCGGGACCCCTGGGACCCCTGGGACCCCTGGGGCCCCTGGGACCCCGCTGGGGGGGTCTTCGGCTCCGCGGGGATCCCGGCTCTGTGGCGAGGGGCAGGAACGGAGCTCACTTGCAGGGACTCCAGGGCGAGGGACAGACGCGACATCTCCTCCTGCAGGGCCTGCGTGGGGAGGGGGGTACGGGGGGGGGCACGGGGGGCGGGGTTGCCATGTATTTGGGTCGAGGTGTTATTCCGCACTCCCCATGTTGTCAGTGCGTAGCATCACTGTTGGGTCAACAGGGGGCGGAAGAGTGACGGCGCCGATGTTCAAGGACTATGGCCAAAGGGGGCCAAAGGGGGTCTCTGGGATAACGGATCCTGGAACACAATCCCCAAACCCCGGGAGGGGGGATCATGGGATGACGTCACCCTTCCAGGACCTGATGGAAGGTTCTGGAAAGAAGGCATGGTCAGGGCGGAGCAAGCCCCGGACCTGTATATAAGCCGGACCTCTGAACGATAGAGGCAGTCCACCTCCAAGCTGAAGGCCGAAGATCTGGGCTGAGGATAGGACCCCAGACCCCAAGCTGGAGACTGAAGACCTGGGCTGAGGATAGGACCCCTGACCCTAAGCTGGAGACCGAAGACCTGGGCTGAGGATAGGACCCCAGACCCCAAGCTGAAGACCGAAGACCTGGGATGAGGATAGGACCCCGGAACCCAGACCCCAAGCTGAAGACCTGGGCTGAGGATAGGACCCCTGACCCCAAGCTGGAGACCGAAGACCTGGGCTGAGGATAGGACCCCTGACCCTAAGCTGGAGACCAAAGACCTGGGCTGAGGATAGGACCCCTGACCCTAAGCTGGAGACCGAAGACCTGGGATGAGGATAGGACCCCTGACCCTAAGCTGGAGACCGAAGACCTGGGATGAGGATAGGACCCCGGAACCCCAAGCTGAAGACTGAAGACCTGGGCTTAGGATAGGACCCCAGACCCCAAGCTGAAGACCTGGGCTGAGGATAGGACCCCGCACCCCAAGCTGAAGACTGAAGACCTGGGCTGAGGATAGGACCCCTGACCCCAAGCTGAAGGCTCAAGACCTGGGCTGAGGATAGGACCCTGGACCCCAAGCTGGAGACCTGGGCTGAGGATAGGACCCCTGACCCCAAGCTGAAGGCTGAAGACCTGGGCTGAGGTTAGGACCCCAGACCCCAGACCCCAAGCTGAAGACCTGGGCTGAGGATAGGACCCCTGACCCCAAGCTGAAGACTCAAGACCTGGGCTGACGATAGGACCCCTGACCCCAAGCTCCGCCGTCCTTCTAAGGGCCGGAGCTCGGTGAGGCCAGCGGCCAGGGCCCGAAACCCTGGCACGGTCGGGTCAGCGGAGCCTCCCCTAGGGCTCCTAGCCGGAGGATGGGGAATTAGCGGGGTCCCAGTGGTAGGCCCGTGCAGCCTGGAGGCCATACCTCCCCAGGTATCGGCTGAAGGGGCCGCTACCCCTTTGTGTTAGGGACCCTGTAATTAGTCGAGAGTTAAATAAATATCGTGGTGTCTCAACTGGTGTCTCGCCTGGTTCCTAACCCACTACATTTGCAAGGGCGTCGCCGTGCCGAGATGTTAACTCCCTCGCCTGGGATGCAGGAGGTCGTGGGTTCGATCCCGACCCTGACGCCTGATGATAGTGATGATGATGATGATGATGACGATGTGATGATGATGATGGTGATGGTAATGATGATAGTGATGGCTATGATGATGATGATGATGGTGATGCATGTGTAATGACTGTGATGTGTTATGACTGTGATGATCATTAATTGATGATGATGGTGAAGCTGTGATTATGATGATGGTGGTGATGATGATAATGGCGATGTGGTTATGATGATGACGACGACGATGATGATGATGATGATGGCGATGATGGCGATGGTAATGATGAAAGTGATGACGACGATTATGATGATGGTGATGATGATGATGGTGATGATGGTAATGATGATAATGATGGCTATAATGATGGCTATGATGATGACGACGACGATTATGATGATGATGGTGATGATGATGATGGTGGTGATGATAGTGATGGCTATGATGATGACGACGACGATTATGATGATGATGGTGATGATGGTGGTGATGATAATGATGGCTATGATGATGACGACGACGATTATGATGATGATGGTGATGATGATGATGGTGGTGATGATAGTGATGGCTATGATGATGACGACGACGATTATGATGATGATGGTGATGATGATGATGGTGGTGATGATAATGATGGCTATGATGATGACGACGACGATTATGATGATGATGATGGTGATGATGATGATGGTGGTGATGATAGTGATGGCTATGATGATGACGATTATGATGATGATGGTGATGATGATGATGGTGGTGATGATAATGATGGCTATGATGATGACGACGACGATTATGATGATGATGGTGATGATGATGATGGTGGTGATGATAGTGATGGCTATGATGATGACGACGACGATTATGATGATGATGGTGATGATGATGATGGTGGTGATGATAATGATGGCTATGATGATGACGACGACGATTATGATGATGATGGTGATGATGATGATGGTGGTGATGATAGTGATGGCTATGATGATGACGACGACGATTATGATGATGATGGTGATGATGATGATGGTGGTGATGATAATGATGGCTATGATGATGACGACGACGATTATGATGATGATGGTGATGATGATGATGGTGGTGATGATAATGATGGCTATGATGATGACGACGACGATTATGATGATGATGGTGATGATGATGATGGTGGTGATGATAATGATGGCTATGATGATGACGACGACGATTATGATGATGATGGTGATGATGATGATGGTGGTGATGATAGTGATGGCTATGATGATGACGACGACGATTATGATGATGATGGTGATGATGATGATGGTGGTGATGATAATGATGGCTATGATGATGACGACGACGATTATGATGATGATGGTGATGATGATGATGATGGTGGTGATGATAGTGATGGCTATGATGATGACGACGACGATTATGATGATGATGGTGATGATGATGATGGTGGTGATGATAATGATGGCTATGATGATGACGACGACGATTATGATGATGATGGTGATGATGATGATGGTGGTGATGATAGTGATGGCTATGATGATGACGACGACGATTATGATGACGATGGTGATGATGATGATGGTGGTGATGATAATGATGGCTATGATGATGACGACGACGATTATGATGATGATGGTGATGATGATGATGGTGGTGATGATAGTGATGGCTATGATGATGACGACGACGATTATGATGATGATGGTGATGATGATGATGGTGGTGATGATAATGATGGCTATGATGATGACGACGACGATTATGATGATGATGGTGATGATGATGATGATGGTGGTGATGATAGTGATGGCTATGATGATGACGACGACGACGATTATGATGATGATGGTGATGATGATGATGGTGGTGATGATAATGATGGCTATGATGATGACGACGACGATTATGATGATGATGGTGATGATGATGATGGTGGTGATGATAATGATGGCTATGATGATGACGACGACGATTATGATGATGATGGTGATGATGATGGTGATGATGGTAATGATGATGGTAATGATGATGACGACGACGATTATGATGATGATGGTGGTGATGATAGTGATGGCTATGATGATGACAACGACGATTATGATGATGATGGTGATGATGATGATGGTGGTGATGATAATGATGGCTATGATGATGACGACGACGATTATGATGATGATGGTGATGATGATGATGGTGGTGATGATAGTGATGGCTATGATGATGACGACGACGATTATGATGATGATGGTGATGATGATGATGGTGGTGATGATAATGATGGCTATGATGATGACGACGACGATTATGATGATGATGGTGATGATGATGATGGTGGTGATGATAATGATGGCTATGATGATGACGACGACGATTATGATGATGATGGTGATGATGATGATGATGGTGGTGATGATAGTGATGGCTATGATGATGACGACGACGATTATGATGATGATGGTGGTGATGATAATGATGGCTATGATGATGACGACGACGATTATGATGATGATGGTGATGATGATGATGGTGGTGATGATAGTGATGGCTATGATGATGACGACGACGATTATGATGATGATGGTGATGATGATGATGGTGGTGATGATAATGATGGCTATGATGATGACGATGACGATTATGATGATGATGGTGATGATGATGATGGTGGTGATGATAGTGATGGCTATGATGATGACGACGACGATTATGATGATGATGGTGATGATGATGATGGTGGTGATGATAATGATGGCTATGATGATGACGACGACGATTATGATGATGATGGTGATGATGATGATGGTGGTGATGATAGTGATGGCTATGATGATGACGACGACGATTATGATGATGATGGTGATGATGATGATGGTGGTGATGATAATGATGGCTATGATGATGACGACGACGATTATGATGATGATGGTGATGATGATGATGGTGGTGATGATAGTGATGGCTATGATGATGACGACGACGATTATGATGATGATGGTGATGATGATGATGGTGGTGATGATAATGATGGCTATGATGATGACGACGACGATTATGATGATGATGGTGATGATGATGATGGTGGTGATGATAGTGATGGCTATGATGATGACGACGACGATTATGATGATGATGGTGATGATGATGATGATGGTGGTGATGATAATGATGGCTATGATGATGACGACGACGATTATGATGATGATGGTGATGATGATGATGATGGTGGTGATGATAGTGATGGCTATGATGATGACGACGACGATTATGATGATGATGGTGATGATGATGATGGTGGTGATGATAATGATGGCTATGATGATGACGACGACGATTATGATGATGATGGTGATGATGATGATGGTGGTGATGATAGTGATGGCTATGATGATGACGACGACGATTATGATGATGATGGTGATGATGATGATGGTGGTGATGATAATGATGGCTATGATGATGACGACGACGATTATGATGATGATGGTGATGATGATGATGGTGGTGATGATAGTGATGGCTATGATGATGACGACGACGATTATGATGATGATGGTGATGATGATGATGGTGGTGATGATAATGATGGCTATGATGATGACGACGACGATTATGATGATGATGGTGATGATGATGATGGTGGTGATGATAGTGATGGCTATGATGATGACGACGACGATTATGATGATGATGGTGATGATGATGATGGTGGTGATGATAATGATGGCTATGATGATGACGACGACGATTATGATGATGATGATGGTGATGATGATGATGATGGTGGTGATGATAGTGATGGCTATGATGATGACGACGACGATTATGATGATGATGGTGATGATGATGATGGTGGTGATGATAATGATGGCTATGATGATGACGACGACGATTATGATGGTGATGATGATGATGGTGGTGATGATAGTGATGGCTATGATGATGACGACGACGATTATGATGATGATGGTGATGATGATGATGGTGGTGATGATAATGATGGCTATGATGATGACGACGACGATTATGATGATGATAGTGATGATGATGATGGTGGTGATGATAGTGATGGCTATAATGATGACGACGACGATTATGATGATGATGATGATGGTGGTGATGATAGTGATGGCTATGATGATGACGACGACGATTATGATGATGATGGTGATGATGATGATGGTGGTGATGATAATGATGGCTATGATGATGACGACGACGATTATGATGATGATGGTGATGATGATGATGATGGTGGTGATGATAATGATGGCTATGATGATGACGACGACGATTATGATGATGATGATGATGGTGATGATGATGATGGTGGTGATGATAATGATGGCTATGATGATGACGACGACGATTATGATGATGATGGTGATGATGATGGTGATGATGGTAATGATGATGGTAATGATGATGACGACGACGATTATGATGATGATGGTGGTGATGATAGTGATGGCTATGATGATGACAACGACGATTATGATGATGATGGTGATGATGATGATGGTGGTGATGATAGTGATGGCTATGATGATGACAACGACGATTATGATGATGATGGTGATGATGATGATGGTGGTGATGATAGTGATGGCTATGATGATGACGACGACGATTATGATGATGATGTTGGTGATGATGATGATGATGATGGTGGTGATGATAGTGATGGCTATGATGATGACGACGACGATTATGATGATGATGGTGATGATGATGATGATGATGGTGGTGATGATAGTGATGGCTATGATGATGACGACGACGATTATGATGATGATGGTGATGATGATGATGGTGGTGATGATAATGATGGCTATGATGATGACGACGACGATTATGATGATGATGGTGATGATGATGATGGTGGTGATGATAATGATGGCTATGATGATGACGACGACGATTATGATGATGATGGTGATGATGATGATGGTGGTGATGATAGTGATGGCTATGATGATGACGACGACGATTATGATGATGATGATGGTGATGATGATGATGGTGGTGATGATAATGATGGCTATGATGATGATGATGGTGGTGATGATAGTGATGGCTATGATGATGACGACGACGATTATGATGATGATGGTGATGATGATGATGGTGGTGATGATAATGATGGCTATGATGATGACGACGACGATTATGATGATGATGGTGATGATGATGATGGTGGTGATGATAGTGATGGCTATGATGATGACGACGACGATTATGATGATGATGGTGATGATGATGATGGTGGTGATGATAATGATGGCTATGATGATGACGACGACGATTATGATGATGATGGTGATGATGATGATGGTGGTGATGATAGTGATGGCTATGATGATGACGACGACGATTATGATGATGATGGTGATGATGATGATGGTGGTGATGATAATGATGGCTATGATGATGACGACGACGATTATGATGATGATGGTGATGATGATGATGATGGTGGTGATGATAGTGATGGCTATGATGATGACGACGACGATTATGATGATGATGGTGATGATGATGATGATGGTGGTGATGATAATGATGGCTATGATGATGACGACGACGATTATGATGATGATGGTGATGATGATGATGGTGGTGATGATAGTGATGGCTATGATGATGACGACGACGATTATGATGATGATGGTGATGATGATGATGGTGGTGATGATAATGATGGCTATGATGATGACGACGACGATTATGATGATGATGGTGATGATGATGATGGTGGTGATGATAGTGATGGCTATGATGATGACGACGACGATTATGATGATGATGGTGATGATGATGATGGTGGTGATGATAATGATGGCTATGATGATGACGACGACGATTATGATGATGATGGTGATGATGATGATGATGGTGGTGATGATAGTGATGGCTATGATGATGACGACGACGATTATGATGATGATGGTGATGATGATGATGGTGGTGATGATAATGATGGCTATGATGATGACGACGACGATTATGATGATGATGGTGATGATGATGATGGTGGTGGTGATGATAGTGATGGCTATGATGATGACGACGACGATTATGATGATGATGGTGATGATGATGATGGTGGTGATGATAATGATAGCTATGATGATGACGACGACGATTATGATGATGATGGTGATGATGATGATGGTGGTGATGATAGTGATGGCTATGATGATGACGACGACGATTATGATGATGATGGTGATGATGATGATGGTGGTGATGATAATGATGGCTATGATGATGACGACGACGATTATGATGATGATGGTGATGATGATGATGGTGGTGATGATAGTGATGGCTATGATGATGACGACGACGATTATGATGATGATGGTGATGATGATGATGGTGGTGATGATAATGATGGCTATGATGATGACGACGACGATTATGATGATGATGGTGATGATGATGATGGTGGTGATGATAGTGATGGCTATGATGATGACGACGACGATTATGATGATGATGGTGATGATGATGATGGTGGTGATGATAATGATGGCTATGATGATGACGACGACGATTATGATGATGATGGTGATGATGATGATGGTGGTGATGATAGTGATGGCTATGATGATGACGACGACGATTATGATGATGATGGTGATGATGATGATGGTGGTGATGATAATGATGGCTATGATGATGACGACGACGATTATGATGATGATGGTGATGATGATGATGGTGGTGATGATAGTGATGGCTATGATGATGACGACGACGATTATGATGATGATGATGATGATGGTGGTGATGATAGTGATGGCTATGATGATGACGACGACGATTATGATGATGATGGTGATGATGATGATGGTGGTGATGATAATGATGGCTATGATGATGACGACGACGATTATGATGATGATGGTGATGATGATGATGGTGGTGATGATAATGATGGCTATGATGATGACGACGACGATTATGATGATGATGATGGTGATGATGATGATGGTGGTGATGATAATGATGGCTATGATGATGACGACGACGATTATGATGATGATGGTGATGATGATGGTGATGATGGTAATGATGATGGTAATGATGATGACGACGACGATTATGATGATGATGGTGGTGATGATAGTGATGGCTATGATGATGACAACGACGATTATGATGATGATGGTGATGATGATGATGGTGGTGATGATAGTGATGGCTATGATGATGACGACGACGATTATGATGATGATGGTGATGATGATGATGGTGGTGATGATAGTGATGGCTATGATGATGACGACGACGATTATGATGATGATGGTGATGATGATGATGGTGGTGATGATAGTGATGGCTATGATGATGACGACGACGATTATGATGATGATGGTGATGATGATGATGGTGGTGATGATAATGATGGCTATGATGATGACGACGACGATTATGATGATGATGGTGATGATGATGATGATGGTGGTGATGATAATGATGGCTATGATGATGACGACGACGATTATGATGATGATGGTGATGATGATGATGATGGTGGTGATGATAGTGATGGCTATGATGATGACGACGACGATTATGATGATGATGGTGATGATGATGATGATGGTGGTGATGATAATGATGGCTATGATGATGACGACGACGATTATGATGATGATGGTGATGATGATGATGATGGTGGTGATGATAGTGATGGCTATGATGATGACGACGACGATTATGATGATGATGGTGATGATGATGATGATGGTGGTGATGATAATGATGGCTATGATGATGACGACGACGATTATGATGATGATGGTGATGATGATGATGATGGTGGTGATGATAGTGATGGCTATGATGATGACGACGACGATTATGATGATGATGGTGATGATGATGATGATGGTGGTGATGATAGTGATGGCTATGATGATGACGACGACGATTATGATGATGATGATGGTGATGATGATGATGATGGTGGTGATGATAGTGATGGCTATGATGATGACGACGACGATTATGATGATGATGGTGATGATGATGATGGTGGTGATGATAATGATGGCTATGATGATGACGACGACGATTATGATGATGATGATGGTGATGATGATGATGATGGTGGTGATGATAGTGATGGCTATGATGATGACGACGATGTTCGCGATGTCCGCCGGCCGCTGACCCGCTGGACCCGGGCGTGCTCCTCCTCGATCCTCTCCCCGAGCTCTCCCCACCGCTGCGCCACCGCTCCGAGCGCCCGCTCCTTGCTCGCTGCGAGCGAGGAGCGGGCGCTGTCCCGAGCTTCCTCCGCTCGCCGAGTCGCCAGCGCCGCCGCTCGCACCCCCTCCTGGAGCTCTGAGAATCTGGGGGGAGGAAGGGGGGCAGCGGGGGGCAGCGGGGGAGGGGTGGGGGTTGGGGAGATGAAAAAGGAGAGGCGAGAGACGGGGAGTGGTTGCGGAGGAGGAGGAGGAGGGGATGGGGAGAGAGGGAACATTAAGGGGCAGCGAGGGGGGGAGGGGCAGCGAGGAGAGGGGCAGCGCGGTGGGGGGGGGGGGGGGGGCATTGTAGTGGCCGCGTTATCTACGAAGTGTCTGCATTGTAGTGGCCGCGTTATCTTTGACCTTCGCTCGCTCGCTCGAGCAAGGGTGAACACGCTGGGCCTGGTGGTTGTGGTTTGGCGGTTGTGGTTTGGTGGGTCCCAAGGGACCTGGACCCAAGGCACCAAAGGGACCTGGGACCCAAGGGACCTGGGACCCAAGGGACCTGGGACCCAAGGGAGCCTGGGACCCAAGGGAGCCTGGGACCCAAGGGAGCCTGGGACCCAAGGGACCTTTTCATTTTTCATTTCATTTATTTGTAATAACCCTGTGAGCCATTCGGCTCTTGATTCGGGTGCAACCGCAACAAACAATAAAATTACAACAAGATGCATTTAAAATTTACTTTACGCAAATTGAAGACATCCCCTACGAAAACAAGAAAATCTTCCAGAAAAAGCACCATTTGTTTATGCTGCGTACTAAACTGTGCAAACAATCCCATTTTGATATTAGATAACAATAACAATCATAATACAATTTAGATTAAAATTTAAGTCTAACTCTATACTACATAAGAAAAAATCGTGCTAAACTAAACCTTTCTAGAAATTGCTAAAATAATGCTATTAAAACAATGTAACAGTGATCATAAGAAATGTGATTAAAAGTTAACAATAGCGACATACATAACATATATTACTAAACCTGGCAACCTTCGCTAGCTGCATGAGTCAATCCATATTAGCAGGACTAACAATATTAGTAGCAGCACACTATGATCTAAATTCATGATAATTTCTCGCCTTGGTCATCTATAGATATGTATTTGATTTCAGGCCACTGGATAGCAGTGGCAGCTAGGGGTGTTGTACGACTCCTCTAGAGCAGTTTTGAGTGATGGTCTTGTAGGTAGTGATCCAAGCTGGAGTTTATTGGCGATAGCATTCCAGACCCTGGGGGCATCAATAGCAAAGGCCCTTCCTCCAGTATTTGTACGGCAATAGGGAATGTGAAGCTGGTAAATGATTGAAGACCTGAGGTCAAATTTGTTCTTTGAAACAGAGAGGAGATCCAGCAGGTAATCTGCGAATATTTTTGTAAGTACATCGTGAATAAATAAGATCTGATGCACAAGCCGTCGAACATTAAGAGATGTTAAGTTTGACCCAATGTAGAGATCAAAGTGGTGAGTCCTATATGGGCAGTTCAATGCAAATCTTAATGCCGAGTGATAAATTGAGCCAAGCTTCTTCAGAACAGTACTCGGGGCTGATGTATACACGATGTCACAGTAATCAAGTAGAGGCAGTATGGTAGCTTTTATCAATTCCAAACGGAACATTGGGGGGAAGCAATGTTGGTGTCGATACAGAAAACCAATTTTTATTTTTGTCTTTCTACCAATATAATCAATGCGTTCTTGAAAATTAAATTTTGAATCAAGGATGACCCCAATATACTTATAGATCTTGACTAGCTCTATTTCATCATTAGTTTTTGTATATAAATGGGGAAAAATAACGTCCCGCTTTAGTCCTGGTGAGAAGCATAGCATCTTGGTTTTGGAGGTATTCAGGACTATATTCAGGACTAGTTTAAGAGCAACTAGCTGATGTTGAAGTTTGTCGAAATCATCCTGGAGCCTAGCAATCACGTAATCCGGAGAGCGGCCAGCAGTCATCAGTATCGTGTCATCTGTAAACAGATTTACCCTGGAATGATTCAGATCAGTGCCCAAGTCATTGACATAAAGAGAGAACAAGATGGGGCCGAGGATGGAACCCTGTGGGAACTCCTTCTGTTATCTTAACACTGTTTGACCTCCAGCCATCTGTGAAGACAGTTTGGGTGCGAGAAGAGAGGTACATTTTTAACCATTCCACTGCGTGTTTGGAGAAACGGAGGCAACTTAGTTTACTAAGCAGGGTGTTGTGGTCCACTGTATCAAAAGCTTTGAACAATTCAAGAAATAGACAGGCACAGTACTGTTTATTATCAAGGATACTATAAATGTGATTCAGAGAGTCTAATGCAGCAGTCGCGGTGCGGTATTTTTTTCGGAACAAGGAAGCCTGGGACCCAAGGGACCTGGGACCCAAGGGACCTGGGAATAAGGGACCTGGGACTCAGGGGACCTGGGATCCAAGGGACCTGGGAACAAGGGACCTGGGACTCAGGGGACCTGGGACTCAGGGGACCTGGGTGCCGAGGGACCTGGGTCTCGCGGAACCTGTGACCACACTCACCGGGAGTTGATTCTCTCCAGGTGTGCGCTGAGGACCACCGCCTCATCCTCGATGTCCTCCTCGTGCCCAGGGGTCCCCCAGATCCCCTCAGGGGCCCCACCCCACGGGTCCCCCTCCCAGGGGGGTCCTGCTGAGGGGTCTTCAAAGTGCCGCTCCATGCGGGCCGGGGGTGGGGGAGTCGGCGCTGAGGATGAATGAAGAAGAGAATGAACGAACGACTTGATGAACGAGTGAATTCATTACCTGAATTAGCAACTTAATGAGGGAATGAATGGGTGAATGAATGAGCAGCATGACGAATGAATGAGGGAGTGAATTAATGAAACACTGAGTGAATTAGCAACTTAATGAGTGAATGAATGGGTGAGTGAATGAGCAGCATGACGGATGAATGAGGGAGTGAATGAATGAAACACTGAGTGAATTAGCAACTTAATGAGTGAATGAATGGGTAAATTAATCAGCAGCATGACGAATGAATGAGGGAGTGAATGAATGAAACACTGAGTGAATTAGCAACTTAATGAGTGAATGAATGGGTGAATGAATTAGCAACATGAAGAATGAATGAGGGAGTGAATGAATGAAACACTGAGTGAATTAGCAACTTAATGAGTGAATGAATGGGTGAATGAGTGAGCAACTTGACGAATGAGGGGAGGGTCCCAGGCTCCCTGTGAATGAATGAGCAACTTGAATGAATGAGGGAGTGAATTAATTAAACAATGAATGAGTAAATTAATGTGTGAATTAACAACTTAACAAGTGAATGGGTGAATGAATGAGCAATTTGACGAATGAATGAGGGAGTGAATGAAACAATGAATGAGTAAATTAATGTGTGAATTAACAACTTAACGAGTGAATGTGTGAATGAATGAGCAACTTGGCGAATGAATGAGGGAGTGAATGAATGAAACAATGTACAATTCAGTAAATAAAGGAATTAATATCTGAATGCACGTGCGAGTGAATGAATGGAAGTCCGAGCGAATTAATTTTAGACCGAGAAGAGCATTTACGCGTGGATGAATTCACGAGAAAATGAACGAGGGGAATTGAATGAACGCAGTGCAACGCTAACCCCTGCAAAGGCAAAGACTCCCCGTATAGCTTTAGCGCAAGGTTGGGGCAAGTGCTGTTAGCGAGCAGCACCGCACACGAGGGGGTGGGTGGCCAGCACCGCGCCCGGCCGCCTTTGTCTCCCCTAGTGGCGATGTTTACTACACACCGCTACACCAGGTACTCATTTGAGGCCGAGTCGACCTAGGGGAGGCCAGACAGAACCTCTTCAAATAATCGCCATTGGTTATTGGTCGCGAGCGGGAATCGAACTCGGGTCGCCGGGTTCGTAGCGCAGGACTCTGACCACTCCACTACCGCTCCCCGCACACGTGGACACACACGTGGACACGCACAGATTCACACACACTCACTGACACACACGTGGACACACGTGGACACACGTGGACACACGTGGACACACACGTGGACACACTGATGGACACACGTGGACACACGTGGACACACACGTGGACACACGTGGACACGTGGACACACGTCGACACACAGATTCACACCCACTGACTGACGCACACTGACGCACACTGATGGACACACGTGGACACACGTTGACACACGCAGATTCACACCCACTGACTGACGCACAAAGACAAAGATCCCCCGTGTAGCCTTAACAGACTGCTGGGGCAAGTGCTGTTAGTGAACACCTATAAAAGCCGGCACGGCACATACACACGCACAACAACAACAACCGCCATTCACCACTAAGTGGCGGTGACGTCACCACGACTGCTTGTGCCAGGCCATGTGCACCTTGAGGCTACGTGAAGTGTCGAACGCCCGCTGGCAGGAGGTCACGGGGCAGACCCAGGTGCCACGGGTCGACTGACTGAGATGACTGGCTGATGCACCACCTGTGCCCCCTACTGTGCCAACCTGCTGTGCTTTAGCCACCCGGCGCTCCGCTCGTTGTTGTGAGCGTCGCTCCTCCGCCCTCCGTTGTTGTTGAAGGGCGACTACCTCCAACTGCCCAGTAGCGTCCTTCATGAGCCTCCTCCACAGAGGCCGATCTTGACACCGCTGGTACCAGTCATCGGCAAGTCCACTCAGCTCCACGTCCTCCTGTACCACATCACTCCATCTCTTCTCTAGCCCGTACCGCGCCCGTTTAGCCCCCTCAATCCGGCCGAACAAAAGCTGTTTGGGCATGCGGTGGCTGGGCATGCGGGCTACATGACCCAGCCATCGCAGCCTTCCCCGCCGGAGGAGCTCACCGATGGGACCTTGCCCAGATCTTTCAAGGATTTGTGAGCTCCTCACACAATCCAGTCTGGTTAAACCCAGGATGAATCGTAGGCAGGCCAGCCTAAATGTTTCTTAACGGACGTAGATGTTTCATTAGGGGGGTACACGTTTCGCAAGCGTAGAGAAGGGAGGGAATGACCGTGGCCGAGAAGACCTGAAGCTTAGTGCGGAGCGACAGACCAGGTAGCTTCCACACAGCGTTACGCAACCGATGAAAAGATAATGCCGCTCGACTGATTCGGAGTGAGACCTCTGCTGTTAAACTGGAGCCAGTCATAAGCACACTGCTCAGGTATGGGAAACTCTCCACTCTCTCCACAACTACCCCATCACCGATTGGGAGTTGTGGGGGTGGAGTGTCCGATGGTACAAAATACCCAGGCAGGTGCTTAGTTTTGGTGGGGCTGATGGTAAGGCCCCACCTCTTAGTGGCACGCTCCAGTCTCAGCAGCAGCACAAACACACACACATTGACACACACACACTCATTCACACACACACACTGATTAACACACACACATTCATTGACACACACACTCAATGACACGCAACACATTCATTCACACACACACACTGATTAACACACACACATTCATTGACACACACACATACACTCATTGACACACGCACTGATTGACACACACCCACACTCATTGACACACGCACACTCATTCACACACACACATTCATTGATACACACGCACACACTCATTGACACACACGCACACACTCATTGACACACACACTCATTGACCCACACACACGCATTTACACACACACTCTTTGATACACTCAATGACATACGCACACTCATTGACACACAGTTATTGACAGACACACACACTTATTGACGCACACACACTCATTCACACACACACTTATTCACACACACGCTGATTAACACCCGCACACACAGTCATTAACATACGCACACACACTCGCACTCCCACACCACTCGTACTCACAAACTCGCTTCGCCAGCTCGTCAACCAAAACAAACATCACCCCCCATCGCCACCACCAGCAGCAGCACCACCACCAGCACCACCACCAGCAGCAGCACCAGAACCAGCACCACCAGCACCACCAGCACCACCACCAGCACCACCACCACCAGCAGCACCACCAGCACCACCACCACCAGCACCACCACCAGCACCACCAGCACTACCTCCACTCCTCCTCACCCCACCACTCACCTGGACAATCCAGACACTGATGATGATGCTGATGATGATGCTGCTGCTGCTGATGATGCTGTTGCTGCTGCTGCTGCTGCTTTTACAGTGCAGTGCGTGACCTCACCTGGGTTTCCTGATTTACCTTGAGCCGCCACACCTGTGCGGACAGGTGAGGGCGAGGGGGGAGGGGCTGGGGGGGGGGTAATCAACGCGACTGCTCCTCCTCCATCGATGGAGGACAAGTTGCAGGTACAGTACCTTGATTGCGCCTGGGTCTCTATGAGACTCTATAAGTCTCTGTGTAGCTTTGATTCTTCACGTACCTCTGAGTTTCTATAGATCTATGTTTATCTCTGAGTCTATGTGTATCTCTGAGTCTCCACGTATCTCTATGCGTGTCTATGGGTCTCGGTATCTCTATGTGTCTCTGTATCTCTATGAGTCTCTGTGTACCTCTGAGTCTCCACGTATCGCTATGAGTGTCTATGGGTCTCCGTATCTCTATGAGTCTCTGTGTATCTCTGAGTCTACACGTATCTCTATGCGTGTCTATGGGTCTCCATGTATCTCTGTGGATCTCTATGAGTCTCTGTGTACCTCTGAGTCTCCACGTATCGCTATGAGTGTCTATGGGTCTCCGTATCTCTATGAGTCTCTGTGTATCTCTGAGTCAACACGTATCTCTATGAGTGTCTATGGGTCTCCGTATCTCTATGAGTCTCTGTGTATCTCTGAGTTTACACGTATCTCTATGCGTGTCTATGGGTCTCCATGTATCTCTGTGGATCTCTATGAGTATCTGTGTATCTCTGAGTCTCCACGCCACCATGGCGTCAGGGTCTGGATCGAACCCACGCCCTCCTGTATACCAGGCGAGGTAGTTAACATTTCACCACGGAGAGAGAGACACGCAAACTCCAAATATACAGCAGGCGTCAGGGTCGGTATCGAACCCACGACCTCCTGTATACCTGGCGAGGTAGTTAACGTCTCACCACGGAGAGAGAGAGACACGCAAACTCCAAATATACAGCAGGCGTCAGGGTCGGTATCGAACCCACGACCTCCTGTATACCTGGCGAGGTAGTTAACATCTCATAGTCACCGTGACATCATTGAGTGTCTTGCAGGCGGGTAAATAATAATAATAATTATTATTATTCGCGTGCAACGTGAATATCGTAGCCTGTAGAAACATGCGTTTAGATGCATTTGCCTGCGACACATCTCCACGTGGTTCAATTCAATTTGGGATTTACCACAGAGCCCTCTCCAGGGCGCTTGGGACCCCGAGCCGACGGTTGAGGGCTTGGGGATGGAGCTGCTGATGTTGCTGCTGGGGTAGCAAAGGCGGAATAAGTTGTTGGTGGTGGTGGAGCGTGACGTGCTGAGTCAGGACGTGGGGAGGGTGGGGGGGGTTCTGACGGGTGCGTCGCGAGCGAGTTGGCGGTGGGGTTAGCGGGACACGCGCGTCAAGTGGTGGCGGCACCCAGGGCCGTATCAAGGCGCTCACGGCGTGGTGGTGGTGGTGGGGGGGGGGGGCTTTAGTTGCTGTAGCCCGGGTACGACGTCTCGCCAAGTAATCGCGACCGGCTTCATCAATCAGGCGGACAGCAGCCAGGTTGGTGTGGAGGCATTGACACGCTAAGGAGCCGTCCATGAATGACGTCACGCATCTAGGGGGGGGGGGGGCGGGGGGGTCAGACATTTGTGACGATGTGTGACGAGGTGGTGGTGGGGGGGGGGGGTGAGAAATGTGACGTCACATCAAAATGCGTAACTTTAAATAAATATAGAATTGTTATAACAACACTAATTGTTCTAACAACACTAATTGTTACAACAACACGAATTGTTATAACGACACTAATTGTTATAACAACACTAATTGTTCTAACAACTAGTTGTTATAACAACACTAATTGTTCTAACAACACTAATTGTTACAACACGAATTGTTTTAACAACACTAATTGTTATAACAACACTAATTGTTCTAACAACACTAATTGTTATAACAACACTAATTGTTATAACAACACTAATTGTTCTAACAACACTAATTGTTCTAACAACACTAATTGTTATAACAACACTAATTGTTCTAACAACACTAATTGTTATAACAACACTAATTGTTATAACAACACTAATTGTTCTAACAACACTAATTGTTATAACAACACTAATTGTTCTAACAACACTAATTGTTATAACAACACTAATTATTATAACAACACTAATTGTTCTAACAACACTAATTATTATAACAACACTAATTGTTATAACGACACTAATTGTTATAACGACACTAATTGTTATAACAACACTAATTGTTATAACAACACTAATTGTTCTAACAACACTAATTGTTATAACAACACTAATTGTTTTAACAACACTAATTGTTATAACAACACTAATTGTTATAACAACACTAATTGTTATAACAACACTAATTGTTATAACAACGCTCCTACAACATCAGAGTGCAGCGCCACATTAAATACGCACTACTGCAATGACAATAGTTTACAGCGACTTGAAGCACGTTTTATTTTTAAAATGGAAATATGGTTTGGGGGGGGGGCAGAGCTTTGTGACGTCATATTCGAGGGGGGGCTCTGACTTTTTGTGACGCCGTGTTACGATGGGGGGGGGGGGGGGTCAAAAATCGTTCAAAAATCGCGTGACGTCATTTATGGACGGCCCCATATCTCTCACAATACAATGGCCACCTCGGTGCCGTCGTTGTGGAGGGAGCTCTCCGATCTCCCATTGACATGCACATTTATCACGTTAACATAACTAATAATAATAACACATTTTATTTGTGAGCGCTCTTCAGAATGCTCAAAGACACTTTACGTAAAATCATGCAAGCAGCAAATACAACATGAAATAGTTAAACAAAAAACACTAAAAACACATCAAACTCGGCTAAGCATTAAAAGCAATTTTAAAAAAGGTGAGGTTTAGTCAACGATTTGAACGCTGGAAGGTCGGTGCAGTCACGGATCTGTTTTGGGAGAGAGTTCCAAAGTGAGGGGAGGCAGCTATAGAGAAGGCTCTGTCGCCCCAGGTTCTGACGCTTTGGTCCTGAGAGGTGGAGTCAGGAGGTTGGCGTCAGATGGGCGAAGGCTACGGGGGATGGGTTGTGGCGGTGGAGCAGGGCAGTGAGGTAGGAAGGGGGCTGGTTACGAAGGGCTTTATGTGAGGAGGAGGAGGATTTTGAATTAAATTCGTTGTGGGACCGGGAGCCAATGGAGGTTCTGGAGGACAGGGGTAAATGTGGTCACCGGTGCGGGTGTGAGTGAGCAGACGTAGCAGCAGAGTTCTCCGGATGTACCGGAGTTTATTTAATGTTTTGGTTGAGGTGCCATATAGGATTGCTGTTGCAGTAATCGATTCTGGAGGTGATGAAGGCGTGGATGAGGGTTTTTGCGGCGGAGAAAGAGAGCGATGGGCCAAGTCTGGAGGTGCTTTTTGAGGCGAAAAAAGGCAGTGCTGGTGATTTGTTTTACGTGGCGTTCAGAGGAGAGGTCATTGTCACAAATGACTCTAAGGTTGCGACTTTGAAGGGATGGAGACAGGGGTGAAGGTGTCGACAGTGACGGAGAAACTGCGAATGGATTTCGTGATAGATTTGGGATCGACGATGATCACATCCGTTTTGTCGCAGTTAAGTTCAAGGAAATTGTTGCGCATCCACGACTTAAAGTCAGCGAGGCAGTTCGAGAGAGCGGAGTGGGTGGCGGAGGTGATGGATTTGGTGGAGATGTAGAGCTGCACATCATCGGCATAGCAGTGAAAGTTAAGACCACGGTGGCAAATGACGTTGCCACGGGGAAGCAGGTATAGCGTGAAGAGCAAAGGACCAAGCACCGAGCCCTTGGAACAACGGAGCGGTGGAGGAGGTGCAGCTGTTGATGTGGATGAACTGTCGTCTGTCGGTGAGATAAGATTGGAACCAGGAGAGGGCGGTGCCCGTGATGCTGAGGGTAGATTTGACCCTTGGGCTACGCACATTTGCAACCTTCAAAAACAGCCTGCATCTCGGCAGCTTTTACGCTTCATGGGACCCACTTTGCCGCTACCGAAACATAAGAATAGGTTCATAATAAAGGTTTTTGGGTTAGATCGCGTTTATTTATAAATGTGTCGTAACCCTCCACCACCCGACACGGCCAATCAGCAAAGAAAGTGTCACGTTGACAAAAGACAAATAATTCACTACTTTAGCCCACCGGTGTGTTGAAGAGTGAATCCACAACATTTACAGTTTGAGTACGACGTTTCGCTGGTAAATACATCCAGCATCATCAGGCAATTCGCCAGAATTGTAAAGCCCTCGCTTGCTCCCGGTTTTATATAGAGTAGCAGGGTGACGTCATCATAAGAATAGGATCCATACTCTTTGGTTCTATTGGGTAAAGTCACGTAGGTAAAAAGTTAAATAACAAAAATGACGACGTTTCGGCCACAACACAAGCGGCCTTCATCAAACGTCGTGATTTTTTTGTTATTTTATTTTTTACCTACGTGACTTTACCCAATAGAACCAAAGAGCATGGATCCTTGCAGTCACGAAAGCTTCAAATCTAGAAAAGAATATGATTCTCGCCGTTCTTGCGGGAACACAACTGAATCACGTGTGCACGAACCACAACACTTGTGGTCACAATGCAAACAAAACAAACACACTGATAGTATAAGATGATGATGATGGTGCATTGTCTCTGAAACTGATTGGTCCACAGGAGAGACAGCTTTCTTTTGAGCCTCGTCTCAAAACGGCGTCGATTCTGATTCGGCTCGGCGAACAGTCGACGTTTTGAGTTCCACCCCCCCCCCCCGCTCCGCTTCAATAATCACAAAAAAATACTCACCGAGAGCAACAATTTACTCACCCTGGGCGCTTAAACAATGGGACGAGTTTACTCAGCCGTCACTGAATCCTGGGGTCGGTGCGCCCTCTCGCGGTGGTGATGGAGAGGGGGAGAGAGGGAGAGGGGGGAGGAAGGGAGAGAGGGAGTAGGGAGAGAGAGAGAGAGTAGGGGGATGGAGGGAGAGAGAGAGGGAGTCGGGGGAGAGAGGGGGAGAGGACACGCGAGTGGAGGCACGGGGTGAGTGGCTGAGCAGCAAAACTTATGTAGTTCACACACAGACACATGTAGATACAGACACACACAAATAGATACTCACGTGTAGGTACTTACACACGCAGACAAAGATCCCCCCGTATACTGTTGGGGAAAGTGCAGTTAGCGAGCACCAATTATTCATTTGAGGCTGAGTCGACCTAGGAGAGGACCAGAACTGGTTCAGGAGATCACTGGTGGCCGTGATCGGGAATCGAACTCGGATCGCCAGGTTCGTAGCGCAGCGCGGTAACCGCTACACTAACACACAGACACAGACACACACACAGACAGACAGACAAAGATCCCCCGTATAACCTTAACAGACTGTAGGGGCAAGTGCTGTTAGCGAGCACCTATGAAGGCCAGAACAGTACACGAGGGGGTGGGTGGCCAGCACCACGTCCGACCGCCTTAGTCCCCGCAGTGGAAATGCTTTTATCCATTTGAGGCTGAGTCGACCTAGGGGAGGCCCAGGACCGGTTCAGATAATCGTCACTGGTGTTGGCCGTGAGCGGGAATCGAACTCGGGTCGCCAGGTTCATAGCGCAGCGTGGCGCTAACCGCTACACTACCGCTCCCCACGCTAACACACAGACACTCACACACAGACACTAACACATAGACACACACACAGACACTAACACACAGACACTAACACACAGACACTAACACACAGACACTAACACATAGACACACACACAGACACTAACACACAGGCACTAACACATAGACACTAACACACAGACACTAACACATAGACACTAACACATAGACACTAACACACAGACACTAACACATAGACACACACACAGACACTAACACACAGGCACTAACACATAGACACTAACACACAGACACTAACACACAGACACTCATACACAGACACTCACACACAGACACTCATACACAGACACTCACACACAGACACTAACACACAGACACTCACTCACACACTCATACACAGACACTAACACACAGACACTCACACACAGACACTCACACACAGACTCTCTGACCACGCCGCCACACTCACCACACCCACATACTCACCTGACACGTGTGTGTGCTCACACGTGTGTGTGCTCACACGTGTGTGTGCTCACACGTGTGTGTGCTCACACGTGTGTGTGCTCACACGTGTGTGTGCTCACACGTGTGTGTGCTCACACGTGTGTGTGCTCACACGTGTGTGTGCTCACACGTGTGTGTGCTCACACGTGTGTGTGCTCACACGTGTGTGTGCTCACACGTGTGTGTGCTCACACGTGTGTGTGCTCACACGTGTGTGTGCTCACACGTGTGTGTGCTCACACGTGTGTGTGCTCACACGTGTGTGTGCTCACACGTGTGTGTGCTCACACGTGTGTGTGCTCACACGTGTGTGTGCTCACACGTGTGTGTGCTCACACGTGTGTGTGCTCACACGTGTGTGTGCTCACACGTGTGTGTGCTCACACGTGTGTGTGCTCACACGTGTGTGTGCTCACACGTGTGTGTGCTCACACGTGTGTGTGCTCACACGTGTGTGTGCTCACACGTGTGTGTGCTCTCCTCTGTGCCCAGGTGATTCTATGGCAGGAGAAAGTCCGTGGGGAGACAGCGATTTGAGTAAGAACCTCACAACCACCACCACAATCATCATTGCCACCATCATCATCACCACCACCACCACAATCATCATTGTCACCATCATCACCAACACCACCACAATCATTATTGTCACCATCATCATCATCACAATCATCATCATTGTCACCATCATCATCACCACAATCATTATTGTCACCACCATCATCATCACAATCATCATTGCCACAATCATCATCACCACCACCACAATCATTATTGTCACCACCATCATCATCACCACAATCATGATCAACGTGATGGCACGTGATGATAGCAGGCTGTGTGATGTCACGTGATGATAGCAGGCTGTGTGATGCCACGTGATGACAGCAGGCTGTGTGATGACAGCAGGCTGTGTGATGCTGTGTGATGCCACGTGATGCTGTGTGATGACAGCAGGCTGTGTGATGCTGTGTGATGCTGTGTGATGACAGCAGGCTGTGTGATGCTGTGTGATGCCACGTGATGACAGCAGGCTGTGTGATGTCACGTGATGACAACAGGCTGTGTGATGACAGCAGGCTGTGTGATGCCACGTGATGACAGCAGGCTGTGTGATGCTGTGTGATGCTGTGTGATGACAGCAGACTGTGTGATGCCACGTGATGACAGCAGGCTGTGTGATGACAGCAGGCTGTGTGATGCCACGTGATGACAGCAGGCTGTGTGATGACAGCAGGCTGTGTGATGCCACATGATGACAGCAGGCTGTGTGATGTCACGTGATGACAGCAGACTGTGTGATGTCACGTGATGACAGCAGGCTGTGTGATGCTGTGTGATGCCACGTGATGCTGTGTGATGACAGCAGGTTGTGTGATGCTGTGTGATGCTGTGTGATGACAGCAGGCTGTGTGATGCTGTGTGATGCCACGTGATGACAGCAGGCTGTGTGATGCCACGTGATGACAGCAGGCTGTGTGATGTCACGTGATGACAGCAGGCTGTGTGATGCTGTGTGATGCCACGTGATGCTGTGTGATGACAGCAGGTTGTGTGATGCTGTGTGATGCTGTGTGATGACAGCAGGCTGTGTGATGCTGTGTGATGCCACGTGATGACAGCAGGCTGTGTGATGCCACGTGATGACAGCAGGCTGTGTGATGTCACGTGATGACAGCAGGCTGTGTGATGCTGTGTGATGCCACGTGATGCTGTGTGATGACAGAAGGTTGTGTGATGCTGTGTGATGCTGTGTGATGACAGCAGGCTGTGTGATGCTGTGTGATGCCACGTGATGACAGCAGGTTGTGTGATGACAGCAGGCAGTGTGATGCCACGTGATGACAGCAGGCGGTGTGATGCTGTGTGATGACAGCAGACTGTGTGATGTCACGTGATGACAGCAGGCTGTGTGATGCTGTGTTATGACAGCAGGCTGTGTGATGTCACGTGATGATAGCAGGCTGTGTGATGACAGCAGGCTGTGTGATGCCACGTGATGACAGCAGGCTGTGTGATGCTGTGTGATGCTGTGTGATGACAGCAGGCTGTGTGATGTCACGTGATGATAGCAGGCTGTGTGATGCTGTGTGATACCACGTGATGCCGTGGCAGGCTGTGTGAGATAGCCCGAGGCTCAATGCAAAAACCGGTCTATGCCACGTGACTCTGCACTGAGTTGTTTTTTACAAAGTGTCTGGTGAGGGAGTGTCTGGTGAGTGTCTGGTGAGTGAGTGTGGTGAGTGAGTGTCTGGTGAGTGAGTGTGAGTGTGGTGAGTGAGTGTCTGGTGAGTGAGTGTTTGGTGAGTGAGTGTGGTGAGTGAGTGTCTGGTGAGTGAGTGTCTGGTGAGTGTGTGTGAGTGTGGTGAGTGAGTTTCTGGTGAGTGTCTGGTGAGTGAGTGTCTGGTGAGTGAGTGTCTGGTGAGTGAGTGACTGGTGAGTGAGTGTGAGTGTGGTGAGTGAGTTTCTGGTGAGTGTCTGGTGAGTGAGTGTGGTGAGTGAGTGTCTGGTGAGTGAGTGTCTGGTGAGTGTGTGTGAGTGTGGTGAGTGAGTTTCTGGTGAGTGAGTGTCTGGTGAGCGTGCATCTGGTGAGTGAGTATGGTGAGTGAGTTTCTGGTGAGTGTGTGTGGTGAGTGAGTGAGTGTGGTGAATCTGAATGAGTAGTGAGTGTGTGTCTGGTGACTGAGTGTGGTAAGTGTGTTGTATAACAGTGTGAGTGTTGAGTGTGTGTGTGGTGAGTGTGTGTGAGTGTGTGGTGAGAGTGTGTGAGTGTGTGGTGAGTGAGTGTGAGTATATGGTGAGTGGTGAGTGTGTGTCGGGTGAGTGAGTGTGGTAAGAGTGTGTTGTATACGTGTGTGTGATGACTGTGTGTGTGGTGATTGTGTTTGTGTGGTGAGTGTGTGTGTGGTGAGTGTGTATGTGGTGTGTGTGAGTGTGTGGTGAGTGAGTGTGTGTGTGTGGTGATTGTGTTTGTGTGGTGAGTGAGTGTGTGGTGAGTGAGTGTGTGTGTGGTGAGTGAGTGTGAGTGTGGGGTGAGTGTGAGTGTGTGGTGAGTGTGTCTGGTGGGAGTGTCTTTGTCTTTGTATAAGCTGTTTGGTTGTTTGAAATAGCGTGTGTGTGTGTTACGTAAGAGTGTGCGTTTGTGTGTCGTATAAGAGTGTGCGTGGTGAGTGTGGTGAGTGTGTGTGTGGTGAGTGTGTGAGAGTGTGGTGAGTGTGTGTGGTGAGTGAGTGAGTGTGTGGTGAGTGTGTGTGTGTGTGGTGTATGTGGTGAGTGATTGTGTATGTGGTGAGTTTGTGTGTGTGGTGAGTGTGTTTGTGAGTGTGTGGTGAGTGAGTGAGTGTGGTGAGTGTATGGTGAGTGTGTGTGTGGTGAGTGAGTGTGTGTGTGGTGAGTGTGGTGAGTGTGAGTGTTGTGAGTGTGAGTGTGTGGTGAGTGTGTGTGTGTGTGGTGAGTGTGTGTGTGTGTGTGGTGAGTGTGTGTGTGGTGAGTGAGTGTGGGTGTGGTGAGTGTGTGTGTGGTGATTGTGTGTGAGTGTGTGTGTGTGGTGAGTGAGTGTGTGTGTGGTGAATGAGTGAGTGTGTGGTGAGTGAGTGTGTGTGTGGTGAGTGTGTGTGTGGTGATTGTGTGTGTGTGGTGAGTGTGTGTGTGGTGAGTGTGTATGTGGTGAGTGAGTGTGTGTGTGGTGAGTGGTGAGTGTGTGTGTGGTGAGTGTGTGTGTGGTGAGTGTGTGAGTGTGTGTGTGGTGTGTGGTGAGTGTGTGTGGTGAGTGAGTGTGTGGTGAGTGAGTGTGTGTGTGGTGAGTGTGTGTGTGGTGAGTGTGTGTGTGGTGAGTGTGTGTGTGGTGAGTGAGTGTGTGTGTGTGGTGAGTGAGTGTGGTGAGTGTGTGTGATGAGTGAATGTGTGTGTGGTGAGTGAGTGAGTGTGAGTGTGTGTGTGGTGAGTGAGTGTGTGGTGAGTGTGTGTGTGGTGAGTGAGTGTGTGGTGAGTGAGTGTGTGTGTATGTGGTGAGTGTGTGTGTGGTGAGTGTGTGTGTGGTGAGTGAGTGTGGTGAGTGTGTGTGGTGAGTGAGTGTGTGTGTGGTGAGTGTGTGTGTGTGTGTTGTGAGTGAGTGAGTGTGTGGTGAGTGAGTGTGTGTGAGTGTGTGTGTGGTGAGTGAGTGTGTGTGTGGTGAGTGTGTGTGTGGTGAGTGAGTGTGTGTGTGGTGAGTGTGTGTGTGGTGAGTGTGTGTGGTGAGTGAGTGTGTGGTGAGTGAGCGTGTGTGTGGTGAGTGAGTGTGTGTGGTGAGTGTGTGTGTGGTGAGTTAGTGTGTGTGTGGTGAGTGAGTGTGTGTGTGGTGAATGAGTGAGTGTGGTGAGTGAGTGTGGTGAGTGAGTGTGTGTGTGGTGAGTGAGTGTGTGTGTGGTGAGTGAGTTAGTGAGTGTGTGGTGAGTGAGTGTGAGTGTGTGTGTGGTGAGTGAGTGAGTGAGTGTGGTGAGTGTGTGTGGTGAGTGAGTGTGTGTGTGGTGAGCGAGTGTGGTGAGTGAGTGTGTGTGGTGAGTGTGTGTGTGGTGAGTGTGTGTGTGGTGAGTGTGTGTGTGGTGAGTGTGTGTGGTGAGTGTGTGTGTGGTGAGTGTGTGTGTGGTGAGTGTGTGTGTGTGGTGAGTGTGGTGAGTGTGTGTGTGGTGAGTGTGTGTGTGTGGTGAGTGTGGTGAGTGTGTGTGTGGTGTGTGTGTGGTGAGTGTGTGTGTGGTGAGTGTGTGTGTGGTGAGTGTGTGGTGAGTGTGTGTGTGGTGAGTGTGTGTGTGGTGAGTGTGTGTGTGGTGAGTGTGTGGTGAGTGTGTGTGTGGTGAGTGTGTGTGTGGTGAGTGTGTGTGTGGTGAGTGTGTGGTGAGTGTGTGATGAGTGTGTGGTGAGTGTGTGTGTGGTGAGTGTGTGTGTGGTGAGTGTGTGTGGTGAGTGAGTGAGTGTGAGTGTGGTGAGTGTGTGTGGTGAGTGAGTGTGGTGAGTGAGTGTGTGTGGTGAGTGTGTGTGGTGAGTGTGTGTGGTGAGTGTGTGGTGAGTGTGTGTGGTGAGTGTGTGTGTGGTGAGTGTGTGTGTGGTGAGTGTGGTGAGTGTGTGTGTGGTGAGTGTGTGTGGTGAGTGTGTATGTGGTGAGTGTGTGTGGTGAGTGTGTGTGTGGTGAGTGTGTGTGTGGTGAGGGTGTGGTGAGTGTGTGTGTGGTGAGTGTGTGGTGAGTGTGTGGTGAGTGTGTGTGTGGTGAGTGTTTGGTGAGTGTGTGTGTGGTGAGTGTGTGTGTGGTGAGTGTGTGGTGAGTGTGTGTGGTGAGTGTGTGGTGAGTGTGTGTGTGGTGAGTGTGTGTGTGGTGAGTGTGTGTGTGTGGTGAGTGAGTGTGTGGTGAGTGTGTGTGGTGAGTGAGTGTGGTGAGTGTGTGTGTGGTGAGTGTGTGTGTGGTGAGTGTGTGTGGTGAGTGTGTGTGTGTGTGTTACGTAAGAGTGTGCGTCTGTGTGTTGTATTAGAGTGTGCGTGGTGAGTGTGGTGAGTGAGTGTGTGGTGAG